TATACCATTATTCATCTTGGTGGAAATAATTGCGAAACACACCCAAAAGAAACTGAACTCCYTTGCATGAATTGCACTCCACGGCTTTCGCCTGACTATGTTGACGAATTTAAATCGTTATCTTTAGACTCAACCCAAGTGTTGTTTGTACATTTTTCTGGTCTCGATAAATGGGACGAGCATCCAGGTGCTACTTGTATTTTAGATCCTCTGAACTTGGTTTGGGTGAACAGCATCGAAGCACCTTTTTTGTCACTGGATTTGGGCTTTAATGTTACTTCCTTCACGACTTTATCGAGAGTTGTACATCACATGAAAGTCAAGGTGCCCGATAGCTCTTGCTTCAAGGAAATGTACTGCTTCTGTCTGATAAGAAATTTGGCCAGCACCTTTCTATATGAGGTGACTAAAGAAAGAGGGGTACTCTGTTACGCCGTCGGTGACTCAAACACAGTAAAMTACAGATGCTGCAAATCAAATAACGACTCAATGAAAACAATTGAATGTGACATCCCTGCTGTTGGTAGCCCTGAAATGGCTACCATTTTCACAAYAACAGCAATTGCAGCTGCAATCGCTCTCTTTTGTTTTCCCGCCTTTTTCAATATTATCCCCGATAGAAAGAATTCAGAAACCTTGTGTGCCAACAGTCAAGTCMACAATCCTCTTTACCAACTTGTAATCTGCACCGTCCAAGCACTTCAACATTATTCAGAGAAATATTATTGCGCAAACGTGATAAGAAAACTGCTTATTGCCCTCGCCTTGCCGACGTTGTACTATATTGACTATGGCCTCCAATGGTACACCGAAACCTTTGACATACCTAAAATGTTTAACGACAAAGTGACAAAAGTGTGGAAAGAATCTAAAGTTGTCAGTACCTCTAGACAATTAACGGAGAAAAGTTTAGGACTTCCTAGRTTTCAGTTCATCATCGTATCCTATAATACTGTTGTGGTAATGGTATGTCTTATTCCACTTACTGAAAACCTGGATTTTTTGTCTTCCATGAGTTCTTCCTTTAGAATGAAAATGCAGCTTCTCCTCGAGCAAGAAAAAGATATTGGCCAGGTAAATTGGAAAGAACCATGCGTTTGGACTAAAGRCTATTTCTTTTGGTTAAAATCCCTATTTGGAAAAGCAACAGATTGTGAAAGGCCATTCTGTTCAAGGCTTGCTGCTCTCCTTGGCAGTTTTGTTTTGTTATTGCTTTCCCCTGTCGTAATTGTACTCATTTTCATTTCTTATTTTGGGTATGTTTCACCATTAGGCAAATTGATGCGCTCATTTATATATCATGCCTTTTTGTTTATGATTTGGACTTATCAGAAATTATTTCCATGTAAAATAATTTTTGTTTTTGTGGTTGTTACTTTTATTGTTATTGATGTTTACATGTTGTTCATAATATTTGGATCGATATTTGAAAGCTCCTTGCTATTATTTACAAACTTGATTGTGTATCTTTGGATGGGACTTGTTGCCAGCAAAGATTACTATTTTCCACGCATTGCAATCTTTTCTGTTTTTGTGTACTACTCTTGGCACTGCTTGAGTTCTGTGCAAAGTAGATACCAAATCCTACTTAAACAAACATTCGAAAAGTGCAAAGAGCATCAAGAAAAACAGCCAAACGGTAGGAAAGCTTTGACAATGGATGACAAAGGAGTGCCAAGAATTTCTTCAGAACTTTTTCAGCATGTTATCGATGAGATTCTACCAAGAAGTGAAGTCTACACCAAAATGATTCTAAAACTAACTATCATTAYATTGTTCCTGTGTTTGACCTTTTCGTCAATTCTGGTTTACGGAAAATCCAATTTAGATGAGTCAACTAAAGCACTGGCCGTCTTTCTGACTGGACTTTTGCCCAAACTGTTCGAGGTGTTTGGAGAAGGGAGTTCCTGTCAGCAGTTATGTCAAATGGAGAACGCTTGCCGAGTTGAGAAGATCGTAAAAGATTTCTTGGACCAAAGYGATGATGAAAATTCTGATAACGAGACAGCGACGAATCTTGATGAGGAACAACCTCCTCCAGAATATTCTGATGGCCAAGTTCGTATAACAAACGTTAGAAAACGCGATCAGCCTACTTTAGAGGAGCGGCCGGCGCCCAAACCGGTCCATTCCAACAACAGAAGTAAAAAACCAAACGAAAGTAATGGTAGGAGAGACAAGAACGTGTTGGTCGTACAGGCTGATGTAAATCCGAGAGTGCAAAGTATAAACAGTTGTAACAGTGATGATCCTAGTACTGAAAACACTCCATTACTTCTGGAACATCGAGAAAAAAGAGATAGGAATGCTATCGTATGATGTAAGACTGAAAATGGAAGACAAAATGGCATGGGATGTCTGTTGAAAGTGTGCTTAACCTAGAAACAAGCTGGATGGAAGAATGTATAGTTCTTCGTATCTTGATCAAATCTTAGCTTCATGCATTCATGATATATAATGCTGGTCTTCAGATGGGTGCATTGCCTCAAGGTGCGTGCACAACTCATGCCTTATTGTCGTAAAAATAGAACAATAACTATTTACATGGGGATAGTGGGAGTCGATTCTTACTTTGAGATTTGATAACCCCCTGTTGAAAACTGAGAAATCATATTATCTAGACTACCATTCAATTCAATCTATTCTGCAAAACATTCRTCCAAACAATGAATGTATATTCGATCTGATAAGGAAGCTTTGAGTATTATTAATACCTCGGTTTGTTTGTCTAAGGGGAAGTTGTGACTTCCTGGGTATCTTTTTTCATTGTACGTATTTTTGGACCTTGAGGTCATCGGCAGAGTAATAATGACATTTACAGAGACAGTTTGCTGTAAACCCGATAGCCATGTTCGAGATTTGATTAAGCATATATATCTACTAAGTAAACAGTCTGGCTTTTGATGAATTGAAATGCTATAATACTCGCTCGCCGTCGGCCTCAAGTTTATTAGTCGATTAATGACTATTACGAGCTACAGATGCAAAATAAGGACGCTTTTACTGCTACCACTTGTCTCCATTATAGATAATGAGATAATAGACTTATAATACTGTATAGTAGCCTAAGTCGTATGGCCTGTACCGGCATCCCAGCCCACTTTAGGAGAAACGGGTAGAAAAAAA